AGTGCCCCAGGAATCGGAGCTGCCATCAAGACCCGTCCTGACTGATGCACAAAATGGAAATCACTGAGTTAGGCTCAGCCTAGGCTCATTCTGCCTAGCTCAGGCGTCACGAGCGTGCTTTATTTTGAAGTTTAACGTGCTTGATGAAAAGAGAAACACTAACGTAGCAAGTGTGGGATGTTACAATGGCATTTTTACAGTTACTTCCGTGTCGAAGTGGTTTGTAAGTTAACTTAAATATGCATCCTTTCTTTTGCACCACTGCTAAAGGGTAGGGGTCAGGGACGTAGTTCTGGTCTCTGTTGTGAACCCGCACATCGTTCTAGTCATGAAACGACCTGTGAGCTGTGTCTGAGAGTAGCTGATTTTCTGACATGCGAAATGATGTATACCGGTACAAGAACAAGGTCAAGTCCCTAGAAAGTAAGTGGCTGCAGGCATTTCTAGTGCCTACTGAATCATATTTAAACCAAATAGAGGGGAGGAAGTTATTTGAAACTCTTAACCGACTGTACTATCTGTATGGTGTATTATTAATGTAGCTTTTTGAAGTGGAAGCCTTGAAATGACATAACTTAATACTTGAAAATATATTGTAAATGTTTCTTTGTAATTATGTGCCATCCAGATGAGACTACAGTATCATAATAAAACCAGACTTGTTGATCTTTCAGTTTATGGGCTCAAATGTTTTTTCACCTTTTTCTTCTCATTAATGCCTTGCTTTACTTGAGTGATTCATTACACCAAATGGGAGAGCAGAAAGGGGGAAATGCTGTTGCTGCTCTCTGCGCTGGTCATCAGCTGGAAAACGAGATGTATCAGGGTGTGCAGGAGAGATGTTCTTGCTCGTCTGCCTTTCAGGTTAATTTTGGGGCGAGGACAAAACAAAGGGGTTATTCCTTGAACCGAAGATAGAGTTGTACTTCCGAGAACCACCACTCCTTGTTTTTTACAGTTGCTTTTCTTTCTTAATGTCTTATTAATGTGGATGCGTTTGATCAGTAAAACATGGAGGAGTCGAATACTTCCATAAACTCTTCCGTGGTCTATCGGCACCTTCCTCCTTTCTGTCCCATTTTTAGGTTCTGAAGTCTGGTGACTGGTTAACAATACGCTGTTAAACCCTAATCTTTCATCAGATTGTTACTTCCACGCTAAACACGCGTGAGTGTGACAAACGGTTTGAGGGTGTTGAAAAGACGGAACGTTTTTAAGGCTCCAGAGTGAGGCACGCACTGTACCCTCTGATTTCTGTTCATCTTACACGCTTTACTTGTAGAGAGCGGTTTAAAATAGCCTGCTGGCTTTCTGGCACCTAGGCAGTCCGGTGCAAGTAATCCGCAGCTTCATAAAAAGGGACATTTCACAGAAAAACATTGTTTAAAAATTTAAAAGCACACTGGCACACTCTGCCTTTTTGGCCTCCAGTTGTAGAAAATACCCCGTTCGGCACCGAAATGTGCGTTTCTCAGCCCGTACGTACCCCAGAACCAGGCGCCCCCCGTGTTAAGCCGCGTGTCTCGGCTACCTTCGCCTTCCAGTGTTTCTCCGCCCCGCAGCGCGTGAAGACTATTTAGCAGGTAAATCAGTAACAATTTCGGGGTCAGTTCTCCGTTAGCACTTTACAGTTTGAGTGCGGCGCTGTGGCTCGGAGGAGCGGTCTGAATTAACTTCTCCCTCTTTCCTCTGCAAAGCTTAGCAGCATCTGGGAGGAAAAAACCAAACGGGTGTTCCTGCAACCTCTAGCTGCCTGGCGAGACGGTATCGAAATAGGCGCAGGGAACCATGTTCCACCACTTGGCATCTCTTGGTACTTCCAGATTATCAGATTTCTCATGCCACTTGTCAAAACTCTAATCAGTTTTCCCTGTGAAACACTGAGATCTTTTGCAAAACACAAAGGCCTTTTGTAAGTGCACTGATTTTAAAAAGCTCGTGTTCTCTAGAGCTTGTAGTTAGAGGTTTTCTGCTAGAGCCAACTGCTGCGCGTAGGGTTGTATTTGCTGTTAGACTGTCAGTGTCTGAAGGATGCGTTAGGTACGGGAGTTGTGTTTAAAGAGCACCCTGCGTAAAACTGCACATTCACAGTAGCTGATTCTACAGGTTTTCACCCAATTTAAGCGGGACATGCAGATTTGGAGAACTAATTCTGCCCTTGCTCCTTAGCAGGAGGACGCAGGGAGCTGGAGTAGGCGGGTGCAGGGGAGATGCAGGCAGCATTTGCGGGGGGCTGCGGAACAGTCTGCAGTGTTGCGACGCGGCATCAGAAATGGCACAGGCAGAGGACAAAATCCGTGCTTGTGTAGTGTTCCTGTTGCTTCCTACCCCCAGCCAGGCTCTCGGCGTTCCTTCGGCAGCAGTTCAGACTCCGCGTGGCCAAAAGTCCGTCACAACAGGTTACGTGTTCGACCCGCGTGCGCTGCCGAGGCGGCAATGAAAGCTGTTGCCGCGACCCGGAGGCTGTGGCCGGCTGGTTCTGTCACACCCGTAGAAGAAAGGAAGCGACTGAAACCGGCCCCAACGCAGGTCTTCGAAGGGAGAGGCCGTGTTGGTAAGGAGCTTGTCACAGCTAGTAGGAGGCCACAAACTCATAAAAGCTTGTCCTTTGCCTTCTCGGAGAGTTGTACGAGGTACGTTGTACCCCCCCCTGTACGAAACGGAGTCTGGAAGGAGCGTTCCCGGCGTCCCGTGAGGGCGCTCCCTCGGGCGCGTGCGTGCTGGAATCACCGACAGCATCTTGGCGCCCTGCTGAATCTTGGGGCAGTTTCAGTTTATTCTTTAACTTACTTTGGAGAACTTTTTTCCCCCGGTTGTTTAAGGAGAAGTACACAGCGTACAACTGAAAAGTTTGCTTTTTGATAAACGCACCCCGGTTCTTGCCTGAGGAGTGCACCGCTGACCTGCGGCGTTTGCTGAACACTTGAAATACCTGTTTGCGTTTGTGTGTTCACCTGTTACGCTGCAAACAAGTATCCGTCTTTGCAACTAACTAAAAAACATTGAGAAGTGTGATTTTTTTTTTTTTCTCTTGTTACATACAGTCTTCACCTTTCACCCTAAGAAATGAATATCTAAAAAAATGGGGTGTGTCCAAGTCAGGTATTGGAGCATGCATCGTGATTACTCTGAGAATAATTACCACTCGAATCGATACCAATCTGAAAATAGAACATGGAATGGAGGATGGTTTTGGGTCTGAGACATTAAAAAGCACTAGGAGCTGTTATAGTATCTTAACTGCACCTTGTTAAACGCTCGCAATAATCACCGAGCCATTCGTTTTCATTCTTAAAAGATACTGTTGCAAAGTACTGGCTTTATTTTATGGTTTTAATTACCACTTGCTTCTGTTGGTTAAAGTCTGATGACTTCTGGAGATACCATAATTCTCTGTCTTGGAAGATACTTGCTCCGTGAGCACCTCTAAAGGGGGGGGAGGTGATGAGGGTAAGGCCAAGATGGCTGTAGCTCAGCCCAGCATGGACCACCACAGCAAGACTCTGAATTAAGGAAAACCAGTTGTACATAACGACCGCCACAGAGGCAGCCTGTCCTTGCTGCTCCCCTATGCAAACCAGGCTGCTGCTCCTGGTTATAGGGAAATGGAGTGCATGATTTTCCTGCTGTAACAACAAATTTATTAGGAAAAGGCACATAAATGTGATGAAACTCAGACTTTAATACATTTTTTTTTTTAGCAGTGCCAGAGCACAGTTTTAAACAAAGTCAATTAAGGGTCTCAACATTGAATTCTTAATTCTCATTAATAAATATTTCCATGTGCATCTCAAGGGAATACTAGAATTTTCACAGAATGGCAGGGGTCGGAAGGGACCTCTGGAGATCATCTAGTCCAACCCCCGGTAGGTTCACCTACAGCAGGTCACACAGGAACGCATCCGGGCGGGCTTTGAACGTCTCCAGAGAAGGAGACTACACAGACTCTCTGGGCAGCCTGTTCCAGTGCTCTGCCACCCTCAGGGTAAGGAAGTTTTTCAACATGTTCAGGTAGAAATTTTACTGAAGTATAGGTGATTGTTTAGGAGTAATCGTACAGGTGACGGTTAAGAGCATACATCAGATTGAGATGATTGCTTCCGTAGAAAAAACTGCTGATTGAGTTCTCAAACTGCAGAATACACTACAGATACCTCATGCAGTAGGAAAATTAGCAATTTGTATTGCTCTAGAACATCCAGTCACCAATGTGAAGACAAGACTGACTCATCAATGAATTGCTCTGGACCACTAGTCTTCAAACTAGAGGTAGCTGAGGTAACAGCATCAGCTGTTTGAGGCCTCTCACCACAGTTCCTCGCTTCAGGAAAAGACAAATTTCAAGGCAAACGGGTTGCAAGGACAAAGCGTGTTCTGACTGGGCTTTGTTTTGCTCACTTGATAGCTATGCTGAGAAGTTTGACACGAGTTTCACCCCTGATGGCTCTGTGATAACAGAGTTCCCTACAGCGTGTAGTGCGACCTCTGTACCTGCCTAAAGGGGGTCACCTTGCGACAGAAATTCAGAAATTCTGTGCTAGCAGAACTGGGGAAAGTTCAGGGAGAAAAATACTCCGATTTTGAGGAATCTCTAGAAAAAAGTTGCCTTGACAACCCCCCTCCTTTTTTTTTTTTTTTTTTAATTTTAACTCACTGTGGTTTACATTATGAAGAAAAAACCCTTTTTCAACAATACTCACTTATAGCTTCCAAAAGATGCAGCATCACTTTAGAGCCAAGCACCAAGCAGGAAATATAAATGCTTTTTTCCCCCCATTTCCAAAGAAAAACACCTGTCCCTATAAAGCTGTTACTCAGGTGTATACAATAAGCTGGACATAATGAAAACCTGAACTTGCATTTAAGTCCAGAACTGAAAAGAATGCCAGTGCAGAGTCTAACTTGGTCGGGTTTTTTCTATTAAAAAAACCAGCAAGCAACAACTTCTTTCTTTGTTTATTACGGTTACTTATCCAAGGCAATTGAAAAGTTGCTTCACTTCATGCTTGTAACTCTTCAGGATCCCTGCTGGCGTTCATCTGCTGCAGTATTTTGACATATACTCCGTGATGTTTAGTGGCAAGATATAATCCAGTTACAGCCTGCACAAGTACAGCCCAACTCATCTTTCTAAAGACAGGCTGAGCAACTGAGAGCCAGAAGCGTAATAGATTCTTTCCCTGGCAAGGGAGACGAAGAGTACCTAAACAACATAAACAGTGGTAGAAACTTACTTTTTTTCCCCATCCAATTTAAGCATCAAGATTTACCATTAAAGGCATGAAAAATATTTAGGTAGACATTCATTCTCTCCTTCCTCTCCTAAGTGAGATTCACCTGGTGGTGCTGAGCTCTCTGGACAAATGCCACAAACCACCCTGACCACGGACCGACTGTCCTGGGTTACAGTGTAAAATGTG